CCCCGCGGGGCGTGCGGGCGGTGGGACACCCGGTGGGCGCGGGGCCGCCCGTGCCCGCCTGCAAAGCCCTGTGCAGAATGAGTGCACGCTCAGTATTCGCCAGTGGCGTTGCGAGTATTTAGTGCTCATTTGGGATAGCTAAATGGAAGTTTATTGAAACACTTAAGCGGTATATTAGTTGGAGTTTGTGGCGTGCTTTGTAATGTAACTTTAATCCATAATTCATAATGCTGGGAATAGCTTCAGGGAAAAGAGAAACTTCGTGTGTGTGTCTATACGCATATGCACATATGTATATGTATACATATACACACACATATAAAGTGTAGATTTGGGCTGATGTTGCTTGGTCATGCGCTGCTTTCATCTTTCAGGTGACATCTTTTCCAGGAGGACCTGTTCACAGCCTCTGTACATCCTCCACTCATGAACACCCAGAACATGGAAGATTAGTTTACAAGGGAAATATGGCAAAGGCAGTGTTAGGTATGTGACTTAAAGTGATTTGTATTGTTTTTTTAAGTTTACTTACTAGTGCTTTATAGCTTTAAAATGCAACATAACATAACACTGGCTACTGTTCTTCCAGGCTGCGTGCAAGATGGTGTGGAGCACCTGTTAGTATGGAATAATCTGGCTTTTTCAAGTTATACTGGGGGAGGGAAGGCTACAAAAAGTTCTTTGGAATGCTCACTGAACATCACTGTTAGCTGTTGATGAAGAGAGAAATTCCCAGTCATATTTGTGATGATTCCCATTATGTGTGTTTGCAACTGGAGCCAAGTTTCTTTGGGAGTCAGTTCCCTGTCTGTGAAGTCAGAGCTGCCTAGGTATGCATGAGATCCAGATGCTGACTTACAGCAACAGAGCCAGCTGCCAGCCTCGATAAACCCAACACGGACCTGTGAGCAAACCAGAACAGTGGCAAGAAGACAGGTCTGAACTTTCAATGGGGTTTTTTTTGGTGACCTTAAAAAAAAAAGGAGGGGGAATGGCTTTTCAGTAACCTCAGCTGTTTAGGTGATGCCATCGACACACAGGAGCAGAACACAGGTAACTATAGGGAAACTTTCACTCCAAAGCGTTCACCTTCCTTTTCTTTTGTTGTTTTATGTAGGTGTGAGGTTTTTCTCGTATTCCACCAGCATATTCAACCTGCTGATGGTGCCCTACATCATGCTGAGGACGGGCATTGGGTCTGACAGCCTGGCCTTGCAGGCTGCCTTCTACGGGCTGGCGGGGATCTTCACCTTCGTCACGCCCGTCACCCTGCACCTCCTCACCAAGGGCTACGTGCTCCGGCTCTACTACAGAGAGGACATGGACACCTACACAGCCATTACATACAACGCTGTCCTGGCAGAAAAGGCAACTGTCTTCCACCAGAGAGATGTAAAGATTCCAGACATCACCAAGATGTTTACGACATTTTATGCTAAAACAAAGTCAATGCTGGTTAATCCGACGCTTTTCCCAAATCCTCAGGACTATAACCATCTCATGGGCTATGACAAACACTCTTATTTTTACTTAGAGGAGAAGAAGGAAGCTGGTGAAAAGAAATAATTTGAGGATAATGAATGTCACTGTCACTGTGGTGCAGCACTATGTATGTGAAAGAAAGTAAAATTCTGTTATGCTTTCTTAAGTATCAGGTAATCATTCACCAAATGCATTTTGGAATGTACTACAAACCCCCATTGTTTTAAACTTGTGAACAGTGTGAAGGTTTCATCAGAGTTAATGGCACAAAACATAGTGAGAAAAAAAAAAATCTTAGATCTGTCTTGTGCTTGTTCTTGGCTTGTTTTTTACTGCCAACTGTCCAGGAGCACTGTAAGGATGCGTGGGCTGTGTGGCAATCTCACCATCTCCCATTCCTATAGGAAAAGTCACCAATAAAAAGGAAATACCAGGAGCCAGTGGCTAAAGTGATTCTTGTCAGTCAGTGTTTATGTAAGGGGGGAGCAAAGGGAACCTCCTGTAGAGTGCTGTTTAGATCTTGTGCCTTTGGGAAACACCACCTGGGTTTTAGTGCTGCAAAGGCCACCCTTAGCCCCACACAGAGCAGGTGGGATCTTGGCATGTCACTACACTGGGTGGTTCTGACTGAGTATGCAGAGAGTGGATTTAGATGTTTGTAGCCCAAGGAGAGGTTTGTCATGTAGACTAACAAACAGATAGTTGTTTTCCAATAATGAAGGGCCCGAATATTTTGAGACTTAAAAATGATAGATTTTTTCTTAAAAAGCAAAATTCAAATTAATCCTTTTGTATGAGCAGTACCCTCTGTAATAAGCAAGTCTGATGCTTGCGACTAATTGTCATCCTGATACTGCAAATAAAATAATTATAGCTACCTTGCCATATACTTTATAAGTTCTAGTGTGAAAATGTATTTAAATGTCTAAATATCTCCTGAGGCCATCATTTCTGTTTCCTCCCATAGGGTGACACTACAGATCACATTAAAACGTCAGTGCTTTTAAATATTGTCTTCCTGACTGTTGAAATTGCTTTCAATGCACTTGCTGAGTAATTAAAAAGCAAACTATCCAGTCCAGGCAGTTTTGTGGCAATTCTTTTATGTTGGCACAGCTATAACTTTGAAGCCTGATCTGCCCCCACTGAGCCAGTATCACTTTACAGGTAACCATAATATAAAAAAAATTCCATAAATGATAATGGGGATGTGAGGCCAGTAACAAGCAATTCTGATCACCTACTTGTACTACTTATTGGAATGATGTTTTGTGCCTAAATAAAAAGTCTTTGCATTCTTTCCATGTCTGATGTTTTTATTTTGTGAGTACATGCCTTATGCCTCATCTGTAGCCCCCTGATAGCTGAGTTTCCTCAGCAGCAGCCCGAAGGCCAGGATCAGAAACAACAAACGTCTGCTTCCATCTGCAAAAAGGTCTACTTCAAAAACTGACAAATGGCTCTGCCAGGAAAATTAAACTATTGTTGCTTCTTTCTTTATTGAATAAACGTGTTTAACATCTTAAAAGAGTTTCCCAGTGACGTGAGGCTTTGGTACACAGGACAGAATTTGTGTTTCTGTCTGACTGACACTTTGTTCTGCCAATGACCAGGCCCA